TTGACAATGATTTTTAGTTTCAGTTATTACACTACTGAATAAGAATGCATTTTATTATTTTTGAATTGAGTAATTAATAAATGCTTTCCTTCAATAAGGTGAATAGTAATCTAATAAAAAAATTAATATAATTCAATAATGGATGTTTGAGTATCATAATCCAATATGATTTGCATTTTAGAATCATAATAGTAATGCCTTAAGAAAAGTAACTCCAACTATGAAGCCATTCTAAGTTGTCAGAAATAAATATTAATGAATGCATTTGAATACATTTTCACAGATTATGAAATAGGGATGTGATCTATTTTATTATTAAGTGGAGTTAGATTAAAAATTTTTCAAACTAGGATTTTAACCACAAAAGCAAGAGCTATCCTTTTGTCTATATCTGGTTGATCTCAATATCTTAATTATATTCAGATGGCCTTCTAAAGAGGCAAAAAGTCAGTCTATTCAAGATTGTGAAAATTTCAATATTTAGAGAAATTATAATATTTTTCTTAAGATGTTATAATAAACTCAAGGTTTTATAGAGGGATTGATATCTAATGGGTACTTCAGAGTGAGTCCCTTATTCAATGAGTCATTCAATTCATTTGAAATAAAGGAGGCATCTAAACTTCATTCTGCAAGTATTCAATTTTTTGAATAGCATTTTATTTACAGTCTTCATTATTTCAACTTTTTCTTCTATGATATCCTCCACTATTAGATATATTCTTCTTTACTAAAGATCAAATTTTTCCTACTACTTTAGGCCTGAAATTAAATATTTCTTCATCATAATTCCTCTCCTCTACAATAAAGGAATATCAAAATAATTACGTGAGCATTTATTAAAGTAAGATATTTAAAACTTTTATACTATAGATTTCTTATGAATGAAAAATTAAAAAACAACTTAACTTAATAAGAAATTATTAACTGTTTTAAGAAATTCACCCAGTTTCTACATACATTCAAATTTTTTCATTTTATTAACCAAGATTGAATTATTCAACTGAATATAATTAAGGAAAAGTAACATTTAAAATATCTATTATCATTTTCAACTAAAAATGGTTGGCAAAATGAATAGAACTCTCAATTTCAGATAATAAATTGCTAATAATTTATATCAAGTCACTGTTTGAAATAAAATGTTAGAGTTATTCAAATATTGTTTTAATTATAATTAATCTTTGCCAACATTATTTGCTCAAACTTTTCATACTTAAGGAAATTACTGTAGAACGTTAAAAACCAATCCAAATTCTATGAATAAATATTTATTCAGTATTTAAATTTGGGCTTGAACTATAGGATCTCCAAAATCCTCTTATAAAGTTATATACATATTTGACTTTTTCAATTCACAATTATAATTATAATATTTTTTGGTCATTTAATCCTTTAAGTTTACACACTTGAATAAAATTCAATTATATATCTTTCACTAATAAATTCCACTATGGATTTAGCTTTATGAGTTTATTTTTTATAAATAGTAATTTAATTAAAATTGATGCTATCCAACTAACTTTTATTTATGAAGACTCAAACTTTTTTGGCCTTAATCATTAAAATTTGTATAAAATGATCTTATACCAAGTACTAAATTGTGATTCAGAGTTTTTATTTTGAAGTCTTGTTCATCTTTCTGTCAAGTTTTTCTTTGATATATATAAGAAAAGGGGAACTATTCAGAATTCCATTCTGTTAAAGATATAATTAACGCTATATTTCCAACAATAAACAAGATGGAAACTAAACAATGATATGATAGAAAAGGTAGAAAAGTTGGTTAAATTCATATTCTAACCAAAGTTCGATTATCAAAAATAATTGCTTCATAATGAAGAAATGCTTTACTCCTCAATGTATATTTCAAATTAATCAAATGTTAATTTTTAGAATGTAAAAATTTAAAGATTCTAAAGGTGGAAGAGAGTAACTTTTTAAAATGGTCTACAATCGTACTTTTACAAGCTTTATACTTATTGTTTCGGCATTTACTTGTTTTAAACAACTCTTAATTATTTCCATATTATTCAAGTTATTTATATTTAATATAATGATCAATTTTTTTTTTGAAATATAGCTCCAAAAGATTAACTAATCAATACAATTCAGAGTTTACATATATATTTCACTCGAAAATAAATTCAATTAAAATTATTATTTACCCACCTTATTCTCCTGGAAACGTAAAAGATGTCAACAATGACTTTATATAAATGTTTTGATATTTAATATGCTGCAACTACATTAATGTAAGTTCTGTAGCAAAGGTGGACTCATTATTGATTAATCGTTCTTAAGTCATTTAGAAAGATAGGAAAAAAGGGTCTTATTTAATCAAAAATTGGTTGGAGTTAATCATTTAACCAACGACGTGAATCTTTTATAATTAAATGAAGATGAAAATATTTAAACCTCTGGTGTATAAGGACAAATTATTTATAAACCTTTAAATTACCACTTTTGTTGATTTTCCTTTAATTTCATGATCCTAAAATTTTAAAACGATTGAGCGAATAATTCGAGATTTATTTTAACATTTATTTATTTGGTTGAAATTTTTATCTTTATTTTGTAGAGACTTAAATAAATCACCACCTCCTAATAAGTTTCCTTGTAATTTCGACTCTAATAACAAGGAAACTTATTGCAAATCTTAAGTTGACCTTGATTAATTTACAAGTTCTATCTAAGCGATTATCTTCCCCAATTTTCAAGATAATTATTTAATACCATTATTAATAAATAAGATAATTTACTTTTAGATATTGCCTAAATTTTAAATATCTCTATATAAATATGCAGATTATAATACCAAATTATAAGAAATAATGGATGATTAAAAAATTGCGTTCCGTTCATTCTATAATCCCAACTAATTATTAAAAGCTAGCTATTTGGCGTAGCATTAAGACTTTTGTATTCTTGTAAGATGTAATCCTAAATTAGCTTCAAGTTATCTAAAGCTATTATCCTAAGATCAATTAGAATTATTTGCTATTTAATCTCATGTTCAATTAGTTGAGCTAAAATAAAGATTTAAGTAACTTCCCTAATTTTTTCATAAATTATTAAAAAAGCGATTCAATCTGAATAGTAATGGAGTATCTCATTCAATGCAACTATATATTTTATGCTTATATTGTTACATAATGTATAAAATATCTTCATATTTTCACTCTAATAGGGAGATACAACAATTTAATTTATTAAAATCTATCGATTGATTAATAATTATCAATAAATTTGACTCTTTATTATCCAAACTCAACAGCATATCTAATAAATACCATATAAATTTTATCATATTAATCTTCGTTAGTTAACCATTTCAATTTTTCATTCACTTATACATATCTATCTGTATTAAAATATTATTGAATATTTATAACCCTATATCAAAAAGGTATATTGTATAAAGTTGAATTTTAAATTCTTCATTCAAAGAAATTAATATTTGAGTAGTCTTATGTATTTGTTAAGTCCATGTAAAAGTGAAAAATCTAATACACCCAAAGATCTATTTTAAAGGGGTATTCTTAATGAAAATAATGATCTTCGCCATTTTTTAAATTTATGCTGTTATCCATTTTCAGTAAAGATATTTTATACCTAATTTTATACAAGTATTTGAAAAGATTAGACTTTTTTGAGAAGTTTAATCTGAATTTAATATAACAGTTAGTCATGCTCCTCTTAAGTTTTATTTTGTTACTAGTTATTTTTATTCTCAAAGTATTGTGATTTAAATCATCTTCGATTTCATTTTATTAGTTATTATCATTTATTTTAGACCCTGAATTTTACCAATCTATTGTAATTACATCATTCTTTTTTTAAGTCACCTTTATGTGATAAATAGATGTTGATTTATATATATTTACTTTTTCCTCAGATGTTCTCAATTTACAAGTCCAATCATGTATGACAACTTATTTTTATTCTACTTATTTAATTAAGTCGTCTAGTAGTAGCATAAACGATTGTATAGATTACAGGAAGTAGCATTAGTTTTCATCAATCAAAATTGATAAGTCCTGGCTAATTTGTTTTGATGTCGTATGTCCAACTTATAATTAGCATGTCCCCATATAGACTTAAGGATCAATTTGATAGTATACTGAATTTTATGATTGAAAGGAAGTTATTTTCTAATTATTTAAAATCTTCTTTTTCTTCTGCCTATTTATTTACTTCACTGATATTCCTTTGTACATAAACTTGATCTATTTTATTGTGGTTTAAAGTATATCATGCTAGAGAAAAAGAAAATTAAAATAATTGGTAGTTTATTTACTACAATCCTACAATACATTTTTTATCACTTTTAGCCATCATCAAACAAAAATAGTCAAGATCATTTGCAGTAATCTATTCAGATATAATAAGACACCTTTAGTTTTTAAATAATTAAATTAACAGAGTAGTTATGCTGTTGGGTCACTTCTTAAGATTCCTTCTATCGATTTCCTTATAATTTCGTTTTCAAAATTATACATGATTGTTGGCTTTTAAAAAGCTTGGTTAATAATAATTTTTTTGCTGAATATTTCCAAAGTATATGATATTTTTTTCCTTTTAAGTTGCTTTTCTATCTGCAATAAATTTTTCCGTATTCTTAAATAGCATTGTTTATGATTCAATAACTAATATATACTAGCTTATTATAAATTAAGCCATTTTCTATTTCTAAACATACGGTTTTGGTTCACATTAATCGAAATCAAATTAGGTTTTCAGAGAATTATCCAAATGAAATTGCATCATTTGGTTTGAAATTGATGATAAAATTGTAAAGATAATTTATTTATAGTTTTTTGATTAAGTGAATATAAATTTGTGTGAAATATTTCTAACAAAGCTGTTATTCCTCATTTAAGCATATAATTGAATTGAAAAAATTAAAGTAGATTAATGAGATTAATTGATTTATATTTGAATAGTTCGTATATAATTAATTGTTTATGAGTAATAAATAAATAAAAAGTAATAGAGAAATGAATAAAAATGTAGGAACAAGAAACGATGTTTATCAACAACAGATTATCGAATGCTTTGAAGATGTATAAAATCAGATTGAAGTAATATATGTGATTAATCAATTTACTAGTGTTCATTCAACAAAATGGACTTTTATTTAGATTCACTTGTAAATAATACTTCTGATTCATTGAATCTAAATACCTTTTAAAAACACAATTTTATACCTATATTGAACACTCCTTTAATTAAATTTGAGAATTCAAACTTTGCTTAATCAATATGTTAAGACATATAATCATAAATCAAACTTAATATTAACAATTAACTAGAAATCAAAGACCAATAATTAAATTAAACTAATCAATTAAATCTCAAACCATTCACTTATCAATTAATCCCACAATATAAAATTTCATAAACTGAATAGTGTTATACAATAGCTATTAATGAAGATTGTTCAATATTATTAGTTGGATGTAATTAACAAATAAAAGTATTTGAATTCAAGTAAGGAATCAC